GTTTTAAAGAATTATGCCCCTGAAGACATCTTTAATTGTGATGAGACAGGTCTTTTTTGGAAAATGCGACCTAGTCGTACAATTTCTAATGCCCCAATTTCTGGAACAAAACAGTCAAAAGATCGTGTAACTGTTTTGCTTACTTGCAATGCAACTGGGAGTGAAAAATTATGTCCATTATTCATACACAAATATGAAAACCCTCGAGCCCTCAAAAACATCAATAAGAAAACTCTTCCAGTAGATTATCACTGGAATCCAAAAAGTTGGATGCAAGTTTCGATCTGGAACCAATATCTTAAAAAACTTGATGCTCGAATGAGAACACAAGGTCGAAATATTCTTCTTTTAGTCGACAATGCTCCAACTCATGCCCTATTTGAAACCACACGCCTTACAAATATCACGCTTGAATTTCTTCCTCCAAACACTACTGCACACCTCCAACCATGTGATCAAGGTATTATAAATAGCTTCAAGGTAAGCTTCAATTAATGAACATTCAATTCAGAATGTAGTAATGTTTTATACTTGAAATTTTAAAAATTCGTTGTTTATTTTAGGCACAATATCGAAAGCTATATTTACACAATCGAGTCAAATCATATGATAATTTTAATGAATATGGCACTGAACCCGTTGAAATTAATATTAAAAAATGCATCAAATATGTTGCACGTGCATGGGATAGTGTTACAAAAACTACCATTGAAAACTGTTGGCTAAAAGCGGATATCCTGCCTAAAGATGATGATGGAGACGAAGTTAGAGATGATGATCGTGAGCATGATGATCATGTCCATGATGACCATGACTCCAATGACCATGCCGATACTCAAATTTATCTTACACATATTAAGGAATTGGAAGAGATTCAAATGTTGATTGATAAACTTGATTTTGAAAAACCTTTTACTGCTGAAGAATTTATTCAATGTGATAGGGAAGAAATTACAACGGAAATGATATCCAATGAAGAAATTTTGAAAACCGTTCTTCCCAATAATAATCAAGAAGAGGAAGTAGAGGAGATTCCTTTACCAACCATTACTCATAATGAAGCTATTGAATTTTATGATAAGGTGATTTTATATTTGGAGCAACAGGAAGACGGTTTTGATACAAAAAAAGAAGAGTTGAAATTTGTTAAAAAGCTAAAAAAAGAAGCTTTAAAACAACGGTTTATTTCTGCAAAACAGACTAATCTTGATAGTTATATTAATATAATTGAGTAAATTTATTCGTGTAATTAAGAGGCTCAATTTTTGTTACATTTTCATAAATAATTCAGTATAATAAAATGTTGTTAAAAATTTAAAAATCGCGTAATTTATTATTTATAGTTATCTCTTAAAATAAATAATAATAAATTTTTAATGAATATTCGGTATAATATAATGAAAATTCGTTATAGTGGCATACCGATTATTCGCTATGATATACCGAATATTTCATTATAGTGTTACCGAATTTTTGTATTACGAAGGCCTGATCGGCCCGGACACCAAATTCGTTATATCGAGGGCAGACTGTATTATGACATCTGATTGCAGGACTTGATCTCCATCCACTTACTAAATCACATAATTTCTGGCATACCTCAATAGTATAGTATTTTTTTTGGTTTAAATAGGAACTGAAACTAAATAAAAACTGAATTAGAACTATCCAGTTTAGTTTAATTCTACCTAATTTTTTTAAAAATGCAAAAATTGGAATAATTTATAACTAGTGATTGTATAGAAATCAATTAACTATAGCTTATTAGAATTATCTCATCAAAATGCAGTAAGATTAAGTCTAGTAATACCTGCCTAAATTCTTTTTGCAAAAAATTTCAGTTTCGTCACCAACTAGTTTCGGTTTCGTCATTAATTAAACTATATAATAATAATTTTTAATTTTAATTTTAATTTTAATTATATAAAATTATAGTTTTATTATAAAAATATATAAAATTAATTATATTTATAATAGTTTTATAAATTCTTTTTAAAAAATATTTTTTTTTAAATAATTATTATAATTAAAAATCCATGAAAATTTATGAAAAATCTATAGAAATACCATGGAATATTGAATTTTGGCATTTCGTTTTTTAATTTTAAATGTCTAAACTATTTCAGTTTTGTTAAATGACTAAATATTTCAGTTTCACCCAGCATCTTTAAGATTAACAGAATTTTTACTCTAAAATTATTAATATAAAAGTTTTTTCCTACTAAATTTACTTTGAATGTACACTATATTTACCTTTTTATAGTAAAATCTTGTGACATAACAACTTTAATCTAACTAAAAATAGTATAAATCATGGGCAATTTCTACAGGATTCTTACTCTAAAATTACCAGTATGAAAGTTTTTTCCTGCTAAACTTTATCTTAAATACATGTCACATTTACCTTTTTTTCTACTTGACTGGCAGATTATTAATTAAATTATATTGTTATTTATTAATATTAAAATCTGATTCAAATTAATAGTAAAATTAGTACTATTTGACTTGATGCTGGAATAATTATAATAATATAATTTTACTTGTATAGAGAAAAAAATAAAATTTGTATTTTTTTATTTTTATCCAAAAAACAAAATGATTTTATGTAATATATTATATAGGAAGATATACTATATTACAAATCATACTTCTGGTACTCTAATCCTATCAGCATATATAAATTATATAATTTTTGATTTGAATTATAATACATAATTAAGTTACTAAATACCATTATTCAATATTAATATATTATCCATAATTAATCTGCTTTCCTCTATTAGTGAATTAATGTATATTATTGAATTATTTATAGTCCAAGATTTGCAAGTTCTTGTAAAAATGCATGTGGATTCAAAATATTTGTAGAACCATAAATAATTCTTTTCTTAATAGCTTGACGCTGCAGAAGAAAATATATATATATAAAAAAAAAATCAATAAAATCAAAAAATTAAAGATAAAGCATTTCTCAATAAATTACCTGAGCATATTCCTGTAAATTTTGATATTCAATGTAATTTCCGCCACCAACTACAAATACAATTCCTTCTTGAAATGAAATTTTACTCTTACTTTGTTTATTTGTACTAGAGCTTCTTGCCATTTTTGGGTCAAAATACAAATAATCTTCTGTTTCATTTGTTCCACTTGCAGTTGGCTCCATAATAGATTCTACAATTTTTGTAAGGGTTAAATCTTTGCGTGTAGGTAACAAATTTTTGACACCTGATATTAAATTCTCGAAGCCACCTCCAAGACCACCTTCTTTCAGCTGTAAATAAATATTAGTTAAGATTTGTTTCATTTCTTGGAAATTCAAGCAGATAATTATTACCTTATTTCCTATAGAACTAAATCCTTGAAAAAGTTGACTAGATTGAGCAAAACCAGAGCTTTGAGGAGCCATAGTTGTCATCATAGTCATCCTAGTGATTTCACGTACTCTATAATAGTAAATACATGAAGGTTAATTTAAATTTTCTGACATTAATTAAACAGTTTTCGATAAATAAAAAATATGACAACTTTTTAACATAATTCAATGCACCCAAATCACAACCGGCAGAGCGTAATGCATCTTCATATTCAGCCATATCTTTAAGAACTTCTTCAGCGGATAAATAATAGATTATGAAAAACCTTAATTTATCTTCTGGTTTTTTTTCTGGGTCCCTGATTGCTTCTAATATAGCTGATTTATTTTGTCTAGTTATAGATTCCTCCATTTGGAAGAATGTATCAAGTTGACGTTCTTTGATCCCTTTTAATAAAGATGTTGCAATATTCATGTGCATATCCAGTGTTTGTTTTCTTGCAGTAAGCTCTGGTAATGCTGTAATAGCTGATTTCAAATGCTGAGTATTATGAGAAAAATCAACTTGATCCATGTCATCTAATGAGTTTACTCCGCTAAGTTTAGTAATTTCCGCAGCATCACTTTTATAACGATTAAGTTCCACATCAATATCTTCGGCTACTTGCGGGAATGGATTTGATGCATTTTTTGCCCAAAAGAAATCTTTGTTGTCTAAATCATAACTTCTCTTTGATATTAGTCCTATTTCTTCTGTTTCAATAGTAATTCTATTCAAATGCATATCCAAGACATCATGAATCAACGCTTGATAAGTCCATGAATGGCTCAACATTGGTACAAGATCAATATTTCTATCAAGGATGATCAAAACAGGTCTCTGAAAATTTAAAGACTTGGAGTTCTCCAAAAACAGATTGTTCCGCGAATTTAATGCATGATCTCGTAATCGATTATCAAGCTTTTGTGCAATCATTTCAGCTGCATTTCCTCTTGGGCAACGGATGATTGGTATAACTCCCATTGTGACTAATACGGAGAATAGAGAACTGACCGTGCGGTCAATTGCTCGCTCAATAGCTGTTTCTGCAGTGGTTGGATCATTTAATAAATAATAAATATTGGGCTGATTGAGTGAAAAAAGATTCGGTTCGGAAACAATAAAATTCAAGTATTGATCATAGACTTGTGATATTGAATTTGATGTGTTATTTTGTATTGTAGCAGCTGCCAATTCTTCGAGTAAAGGTCGTGAAATAGCTGTCAGAAAATTAATATAATATGATTCGTAAAGATTTTTGGCCAAATCCTAAATTTCAACAATTTTATTTAAAATTTAAAAATCATAATTATATAATAAAAATAAAGAAATTATTTAACCTCGCTAATCCTTTGTACATTTTCCGTTGTGGGCTCAACAAAATAAATTGCCGGAACATCAGAAATAGGTTGTCTTTCACTTCTTAACAACCTATATAAATCATCAAACCATTGAAAAAACTGAGTCATATTTAAAAATACGTTAATTTACGGGTTAACCGCATAATCAAAAAATTTTCAGAATAGTTTACGTACATATGAACCGTTACACCATTTTCGCGTAAATCGTTAACTTTAAGGACGGAAGAAATGATATCTCGACCAAAATCGTCAAATATCAAAACCTTCCATACGGGTTCATTGTTTGCCGAAGGAACTAACGAATTTTCTGATGAAGCTGGTATAACTTCTTGCTTATTATTAAGGTTAAGCATTGTCACAATCGACTCTATTAAATTTACCATTAAATTTTTTTTTTTTTGAATGCAAGGTAAAAAAAAATAATAGTAATTAAAATAAATAACAATTACCGATCTGTTGATCTCGTAATGTTGATTCTTTTGGAACGCTACCCATTATGATGCAAGCCAAAATCGAAAGTAAATATTTTTTAAAAAAAAGAAAAGATCTGACGGACAAAATGCTGATATTCTATTGAAAAGTGATTGGCCAATGATTTCGTAAAAACCTGATGATTACCACTTGATTACCTACTTTTTTGAGTTTTTATACTCTACTCAAAGAACTTCAGTTGAGCAAAATGAAACAATCAAATAAATTAGAAACATGGGGAAGCGAAACCACTATGAACTTAAACAACATTTTATATCAAAACATTCAAGCTTCACCTTATTTTAAACATCTTTAGTGAGTATGTTGGCCTCAACTTTGGTGTTAGTTTTATGAAAAACAATTTTTGATCTTTTTTTCTTTGCTTTCTTTTAGTGAATTAAAAACCTATCATGAAGTTATCGATGAAATTTTTAATCACGGTAAGCCATTTATTTATTATATTGAATATACTTGGTTCGTTGATCTATGTTAACGTTATTTATTTCATTTTTAAAAACAAAAAAAACAATATAGTTGAGTCTCTCGGTAGGTAAACAACGTCAAAATATTTTATTATACGCAAATTTGATCGTATTATATAACGCAATCATAAATTCAATCAAAAATTTTTTGGTTGACAGAACCTTTTCTTAAAGGGACAACAGCATCAACTGCCTTTTGTTTACTTTATAAACTTTGGACTTTACGACTAACAGTAAAACAAGTTAATGGATTGATTGAACATACCGATTCTCCGTATGTATTATTCGTTCATTATTAGTTAATTCAATAAAATTTATGTCGTGTCTTATACCGATTACTATTATTGTTTAGACATATACGCGCTTTAGGGTTTCTTTATCTTCGTTATGTGTGTAAGCCAATTCATTTATGGGAATGGTTTGAGGAATATTTAGATGACGAGGAAGAAGTCCAAATCCAAGGCGGTCCTCGCCCAGTCATTATGTATGTATATTATATGGAATTAATTGTACACTACAATTATTAATCGTGAGTTATTCATGATTGCGATGAATTCATTTGCTGTTTATTAACTAGAATGTTTAAAAAAAATTGACCAACTTTAATTGATCTATGTTAGAACTATCGGAAAAATGTGTCGCCAATTGTTAACGGAGCAAAAATGGCTTGGAACTATTTTACCTCGCATTCCAGTACCAATCGCCCGCGAAATTGAACAAAAGTTAAAGGAAAAGTCTCAACCTCCTCTTCCACCAAGGTAGGAAATCTTTTATTTATTTATAGTCATTGTTTTTATATTATCGTTTTTGTTATCAGGTTACGCATTAGTTCCTTAAAACGCATTTACAAAAAAAAAAAAGCGACTTGGATTTTAAAAAGTTGATTTTCCTGAGGAATGAGGTAGAAAAAAAAAGAATAAATAGAGACAAAAGTTTTTAAAATACATGTAAAGTCTGTTTCTTTGTTGTTAATTCTTACAATTCGTTATTTAATTAATAAACTAGGAGAGAATCTCCTACGTATGATTTAGAACTTAAACGTTCCGCAGAACGTTCTATAAGACGTGAAGATGATGATCGAAATTATGGACGCAGTCGTAGCCGCAGTGCTGAAAGAAGATCTCACCGGGTTCGAGATTATGAACATGAACGTAGTCGTCGAGAACGTAGAGATAGAGATAGAGATAGCGATCGTGACCGTGACCGTGATCACCGCGACCGTCGACGCAGTAGAAGTCGTAGTCGTCACAGAAGACATAGAAGTTCTAGTCGCGATCGTAAAGATCGGGATCGTCGTGGTAGCCATGATTATGATCGTCGTGGTAGTTATGATCACGATAGGAAGTATGACGATGATCGAAGAAGAAGGCATGATGATGATAGATACGAACGTCGTAGAAGCAGAAGTCCAAGAAGTTAAAATTAGTAATTTAATTCTTTTCGGATAAATGTGCTAATATTTTAATTTCATTCTATTAATAATTTTTTTTTTTGGAGGATTTTTTTTTCTTTTTCTTTTTTTTTTATTTTTTATTATTTATAGATGTTGTTTTTTGGACATTTTGATAGTATCTTTCATAATAATAGCATCAAAAGGGGAGTGGCCTGTTTTCTTCAATTAATTTCTTTATTCAAATTATTATACACAAGTTTCAAAACGTTTAAATATATCTGTCAAATTTGCATAGATAAAGTTTTTTAGTCACATTTTGTTGACAAACACATTTTCAGTAAAATCACGTAAGTCAAAGAGTACTCATAATTACGTAACTTTATCGCTATTATAACTTTAGTCGCTGTCAACATTTTGTATTCAGGTTGGAAAAAAAAATCTATCCCATAGAAGCGGAATTTTTAAATATGGATTTTATTAAATACAAAAAAAAATAAATACAAAAAATAAATACAAAAAATAAATACACTAAACTCTCTTCCTCTTTTTGTTTCTCTCCATAACATTTATAATTATAAACGAAAATACTAAAACACTACAATTGTACTTACTTTACTTTTTGAATTGATCTTCGGTAACACCTTTACCCATGGCAGTTGTCGCATTGACACCACCCGTAACTGTCAATATTAATCGATCAACATAATGGGCACCAGACCATTTCTGATGTTGAAGAGTCTCAACACCATGCTCACGCTCTTTTCGTTGTACTCCTTCAACGTATGCAAGCATACCACGTTCTTTATAATCCCTAGCAAAGGTATCCACTCCGAGTGCATTCGAGTGAAATCCACCAAGTGTAATGAATTGCCATACGAAACCTAGCTTACCCAAGTCAGAAATGTAGGTGCGAATTTCTTCATCTGTCATACCGGCGGCGTCCCCTAAAATCAAATAAAAAAATTGTAAATTTTCATATTAAATTAGAATGAAATAAAAATTAATACTCACAGTTAAACGAAGGACTTAAATTATAAGCCATCATAATTTCAGGATGCACTTTGTGAACGCCTTCGGCAAATTCTTGGGCTTGAGCTCTGATAGGTTTTGCAGTCTCCATCCAAAGCAAATCACAATATGGGGCATACGCTATGGCGCGGTTAATAGCACATTTAGTGCCACCTTGATATCTGTACAAACCTTCACGTGTTCTTGGGGTATCCCAATTCCAAAACACATCAACACCCAATGACTTGGCTAATTTGGTGGCATTATAGTGAGACAATCCTTGATATTGAGATGACCATTTTTGAAGGAGAGAATTTTTATCAGGAAGGATGGAAGCCTTAATGGCATCAATAACGGCATCATTGTAAAGTTTTAGTTTTGCGTCACTCAACCACTTCTCTTCTATCGCAGCAAGTTGACTTCCCGAGACACCCTTCGCTTCTTCTTCTTGCATGATTTCTGCAAGAGGGCGAAGGTTAGGATTGGTTGAACCAAGAATGAACGCGTGATCTCGGACATCGATGTTAGATGTGAGAAGAGTAGCAGCTTCAGAGTCAGTACGAGAGACAATTAAATTATTGACACCCATGATATCAAACTGAACACGAATAGCAATTAAGCGATTGATGTGTTCTGATATCGGCACCAATACTTTTCCAGCCATATGACCACATTTTTTATTAGATGGTGACTAATAAATAATACGTATATATTATACTAAGATATATATAAATTTAAGCTTAAATTTAAAACAAATATTGAAAAGAAGAATTACCTGATCCTCAACATGAACTGAGTTTAAAAAAATTGATTTTAATTTCGATAATTAATAATTATTTCATTTTGTAATGATGCGCAAAATGGATCACTTACTTCCCGCAGCGCCACGTTCAACAAACATCTTAGTGAGTTTTAATATGGCAGTAATACCACCATGACCAGTATCAGCATCAGCGATGATTGGGCGCAAATAGTCAACAAAAGGAGTTTTTGCCCTTTCTTCTTTAGAAATACTAAATCTTGATTCACGTTGTTTCCTATCATGGAATTGCTGAGCCATAAACAAATGTTCAACTTTATTTGGAACAGTGTCCATCGGATAATCAGCAAGATCTGGACCTGGTTCATTTGAGGTGGAAGCGGTGGAGGAACACTGCCAACCAGATACATATACGGTTTCAAGATATTTAGCCATTTGAGCTACTTGAATAGGATCCAAGGCACCAAAAGTATGCGTAGCGGTCTTATTTTTTTGATGACGTTTGAACAAAGACCACAATTTTTTAGCCTGAGCATCAGAAGCATATTGTTGTTTAAGAAGACCACGCTTTGAGACTATCTGTTCAGCAGTATAGGGACGTTTTACAAGACGAAAACGGTCACTTTGCCACCACCTCTCAACTTCAGCCACTTCATATTCGAAAGCTGCTTGTTCTTGAGCGATAAAGTCTCTGGATGACATTGATGACTTTCGTATTTCGAGTTTTTGAGGAGTAAAGAAAAAAAAAAATTTTTTTGAAAAAAAAAAAAAAAAAAAAAAAAAAAAAAAAGCTTTAATAAGCACAATATGTTCTAAAAAACTTTAATAAGCAAACCCTGATTAGATTGCTGATCTTTCCAAGTTCAGATCAACATAGGATCATTTTTACATAAAAGTTCAACTGCATTAATGATTATATTGGAGTTCTGTTTTATTTTTGGATACTGACCTGTATACCTTACTTTTTTTGACTCGCATGTGGTACAATACAGTTTCCAGGAAAAATTCGGTATATTATACAAAACGTATATCACACAAAATAACTTTAATAAGAGTCGTTATTATACGGTTTTATAGATTTTATACTGTTGAAATCGGTACTACACTATTAAACTGTAAAATTCGGTATAACACGAGTTCATTATAAAGCGAGTTGACCGGTCAAAAGATATTTTGAAGTTATGTCCTTGAAAATTTCCAATGACTTTTTCATTGGAGTGGATCCATATTCCGATAGTTTAAATACGTGTATTAATAAGATCATTAGCTGGACATACATTAACCTACAAATATAAAGATTAATTCGCTATATTAATCCAATTTCATTATTTTATTTTGTTTATATTTAGAATTTCTATCGTAGATCAAATTATGATTATCATAAAAGAATATCAAACATAACATAATACTAGACTATTAAAAAAGAAACATTTATTGTTTTTAGTGATAATAATGTTGTTAAGGGACTGTTAAGGGACGAGAAAAGGATATTAAAAGATCAATATGATACGAAAAGAGCCATTTAAGTTTTGTTGCATCAATGCGGCAATACCGTAACAAAATGTATTTAGCGAACTAATTACTTGGAAATACAAATAGCTAAAAACAAATAATTAAAATAGACGATCTAAAATTGAAGCGATCAATCCAATCAAAATAAGTTAAAAAAAGAATAATATACCGAAATAGTGAAATATTGACACTTTAATAATCAATTATTAAGACAATATTCTATTCATTTTTATTTAGAAACAGGAAAAGCGTATATAAAAAAGCGGATAGGTCAAGGAAATCCAACTAATTATTTATCTAGCCTACATTATATATAGACCAGCAGAGCCGCAACCCTTCACTCTTGCTTATTAATCACATGATGAAATCACATACTCGACGCGTTTCTAGCCCGAAAGAAATCATTTCCTCATATCGAGAGGGCAATTTTTTGCAGAAAAGTAAGACATTGAACCCAAAATTTACTTTTAAACTCAAAATTCACATAATAAAGCCTTGAATCCTTAGAAAGCTATAGTGACTCGATTTTGATAAAACATTAATTATATTTGTTCCAAAAGGCTAGGTAGAAGTAGTGAATAAGGCTGAACATAATTTCCGTTATCATGCTATTTTTCATAATTTAATATACTTCGTGTTTGATTATTTTTGTGTAACGATTTCGGGACTTCCCATGTTATTTCTACGATCATATGATCAGACGTTTATAAAACTTCGTGTTTGCCTCATTTTGACTATTTGTACAACTTTAAAAAGGGTACCCTACCTTTTTTCAAGCGGGAAAATAAAAGTTGAATTTTATATATAATGTTTATACTTAGTACACAAAAATTTTCCCTTATCCCTAAAAATAATATAAATAAAATAATAAAACTATTGTTCGACTATATACACGTACAGGTTTAATGTGGAAATTGTAAGAAAATCATAAGAATCATACAAGAAATGATAATGAAATTAAATATTAAGCAATAATAATATTATTATTGTCCATTAACATCAGGTAAAAACATCGAAAGAATATCACTAAGAGTAATAACACCAATAGGGACATCATCTTCATCAACAACCCAAACTCTATGAGCTTTGCTGCGGATAATTCCTGCCATAACTTGACTGAGGGTAAATTTACCATGACAAGTTAAAGGTTTGGTTAAATCTCCTTTAGAACTCTTTAAAAACATAATTACGGGTTTTGTTAAATCAGATAACCTTTCTCTATTCAACCCTCTTAAGTCTGCAGCGCTAACTTCTCCGACTAATGTTCCATCATCTCCAACAACGGCAACAGCACTAACTCCATCTTGATGAATTTTTTTAAAGGCTGTTAAAGCTTGATCATGAATTGTAATAGAAGAGGGTTGTCCCAATAAATTATTTCTTCCAATTAAACGAATCGTTCTATTAGATACTTCGGATGCAGAAGTATCCAAAATTTTACCTAATTGATGATTATGTTGGAATAAAAATCTTACAATATCAGTTTGTGATACAAAACAAGGTTTAACTTCATCTTCGTTAATAACTTCTTCTCCGTCTTGATCTTCAACTGGTCTTCGTTCAGTTACTAAAACTCTATGAACTTGTTTTCGAGTAAATAATTCCAATGTATCAATTAATAAATCATCTGGATGACATATTGTAAGATGTGTACTTTCGGCTGATAACCCGATTAATTCACCAATGGAATTTTGTAAAAAAATTGATTTACTATTAAAATTTGATGATTCGCAACCATTTCCATTATTGAAAATTGGCTTATTAACAGCGAAAAAAAAAAAAATTAATCTTTTTTACTTTTTTTTTCAAAAATTTATTATTTTTATTTAACCTTTGTCATACCTGTAAACAAACAAAAGCAACTAAATCGACTACATTAACAATAGCAATAGGTTGCTTGTGACCTCTCCAAAGTCTATAAACAGGGACACTTAAAATATTTTCCGCCAATAAAACATCAAAAGCTTCTTCAATAGTAGCAGTAATAGGAATTTCAATAAGTTGCGAAATATTCTGTTTTTCCTTAATAACAGAGTCTATGGTTTGTCCTTTTAAAAAACTAATATGTTGTGGTGTAGAATACATTATTTTAAATTTATCATACAAACGAGAGAAAAAGGAAAAAAATGTAAACGCAATTATAACTAAAGTTTCCGCGCGTTTTCATAACAAACAAAGTGAAATTAATAATTAATACATTAGTGATATCAGATGATAACGAGTTTATTTTTAGTCTATATTGATCCAATTTTTGATCCACTTTATTCTAGTTTTACTATCTTTTGACTAGCATATTTTGTATTACATTTAAGTGATACAGTAATTTTTGCTTTCAATTGTATTGCGTAATTGTATTTAGAAGGCATATATCTCGATATTAAATCCAAAATTCCACGGAATTCAAGGTTAACGATCAACACTAACATACACGTGCAATTTTTCAATCATATGATAAATAAACTGGTAATTTGAATTTTTTGATCAAAAGTAATAAAAATTAGTTTCGTCTCTCGTAAAAGAAAAAAAAAGTATAATGGATGATCAAAGAGTAGCGCAGGTATCTCAACAACGACAACCAAGACCACGATTTCATTTTACGGAAGAGCACTTGGGGTTGCTGGAGGGCATATATCAACAGGCAAAATATCCTGATAAATCACAAAAAGTTAAAGCTGCAGGCGCTATAGGTGCTACCGAATCCCAGGTGAACGAATGGTTTCAACGAAGAAGAAAGAAAGAAATGAAATTGCAAAGAGAACAAGGTGCCACTAATTTACCTACCACAACTGTCACAACTACCACACCTACCACAACTACAACAGCTCCTTTTATTAACGTTGCCGCCGAAAGTAATATCGAACATAGTACTGAAACTACCTCACCATATTTTTCTCCTTTTGATGGAGGACCAGTAATGTCCTCAATTCCAGATCATGAAGTTTACGTGTATATATCAGATCCACCTCAACAAACTCAAGAAAATATGTACAATACTTCTGCCAATTTACTTCCTGGCTCAATACCAACTGAACTACAATATTATAATAATTTTATATCTCCTGAATATATGAGTAACGGTAATAATAATATAGTTAATAGTAATAATTTCGCTAGTAGTAACACAAATAGTACAATGACAAGTAATAATTTCTCTAGTAATAGTACAAGTATAAATAATAATATGAGTAACAATTTCGCTAATAACAATACAAGTATTAATCATTTTCCAAGTACTATTAATTATGACAACAATATTATAGCTAGTGTAAAACTTGATGAACCACGAAAAACAAACTCTAATCAAAATTCTGAAAACAATGAATCGAGAGAGCTTATTGCAAGTATAATGACATACCTAAATCATGATTTGGGTTTAATTTCTACTGATGTTGTCAAAGATTTTCTTAAAAAGGTTAAAGACACTTCACCAAATACGCGTGGCGTTATTTTACATATTATAAAACAAACTCATCATCCGGAAATTTTGAAATCGCTTGTACGCGAACGCGTTAGTTACATACTGAGAAATTGGATTAAGGAGGAAGCGACAAAAACTGATGAAAATAATAATTTAAAAGAGCTACTCGAAATTGTAAGCCTGCTACCTATCGATTACACTTTATCTCGTTCTAGTGGTCTTGGAACGGTCATCTATAATAGAAACGTAAAAGAATCTACTATTGATGGGGTTGCAAAGTTAGCTGGAAAACTCCTTGATAAATGGGTCGAAGAGAAGAAACAATTGGAAGAACAACAATTAAAAGAACAAAAAGAACAAAAAGAATTAAAAGAATTAAAAGAACAAAAGGAATTAAAAGAACAAAAAGCACTCGAAGAAAAGAAAAGGTTAGAAAAAGTGGAAAAAAGCAATCAAAAAATTAATTCAAAATCGGATCTGGCCAAACCTTCGACAATTCAATCTACCCAAACTTCGTCTAGCGGAAGAGAATTAGTTAGACCTAAACCTGCCGACCAAAAAAGGAAAAAAGCCGCTGATGCACAGAATGAAAATGAAAAGAACGAAAAACCTAGTATCTTTACTCAATTGCTTAGTAATTTAGCTGCGTCTGCGTCCAAAAGACAAATTCCTAGGCCACCTCAAAAAGATCCATCGAAATTAATACCGACTTCAAAGCAAAAAATTGAAAAACAGGTTACACATAATCTGCAGGCAGAAACTTCTGACGATAGCTCATCTATTCAAAAACATAAAGAGCCCGAAATATCATCTATTCCTTCTAAAAAAAGGAAACGGGTTACATTTGCTCCTGATGGCCTACTTGAAAAAGTAAAATTATTTGAAGTAATAGATCCTGAAGATTCTGATGAAGAGCCGACTACGGCCGATACTCCACATCACTACGGAAATGCTCGAGATCTTGATAGGAATGAAGGTCGTGCAGCTTTCAAACGAGTTCGTAAAGCACCAGTTATTCAGTGGCATATACCACTTACAATTGATCTATCTTCTAGACCAAAAATAAAAAAACGAAAATCTGCTGAAAGTGAGGAAGCGAGAATTCAAGAGGAAAGAGAAAGGCAGATACTTGAAACAATTTATATTACATCAGATCAAGTTCCCTTTACTCCTGCAGAACCTCCTCATAATTATCAAATAAATAAATATAATCAGTCATTATCTCCCAAAGAATTATTTCTTGAAGAAAATAAAGAAAATTTTAAACATGAAGTTGATAAAGATATTGATTTATTAGACTTTAATGGCTATAATGAAGAAGTATTGCGAGTACTTTATCAAGTCTATCCAAAATGGGAAACGATGCAAAATAAAAATTTAAATATTTTCCCTCCGGAACCCCCAAAGATGGTACAAAACATGCCACCAAGGGGGATGATGATACCACCGGGTCAACCTTTCTCTGCACCACCACCACAACCTCAAGTTGCACCACCACCAATGCCGCTCGCACAATGGGGTTTCAATCAGGGAAATATGATGCATTACCAGCAACATCACCAGCAACAGCAGCACCAGCAACAGCAACAGCAAATCCAGCAACAGCAAATCCAGCAACAGCAAATCCAGCAACAACAACACCAACAACACCAGCAACATCAGCAACAGCAGCAACAGCAGCAACAGCAACAACAGCAGCAGCAGCAGCAGCAACAGCAGCAGCAACAGCAACAACATAATCACCAAACTTCAAATGTTGTTCCTCAGCGGTATCAACCTCAACCTTCATCTAATCAACAGAACTTTCAACCTCCAAATAGAGGTGGTGATGGTGTGATTAGGCCAAACAGGGGTAGAGGTTCGGAATGTTGGTATTATACCCGAGGAAAGTGTAATATGGGCGATGATTGTAAATTTTTACATATTGATCATTAGATAATGATCATAATAATACATAATTGCTCGTTAAAAGTATTAATTGTACAATAAAAAAAAAACATTAAAAAAATATGAAGATAAAAGTTATTACCAATTTCCTTAATCACACAATTATGGAAACAGATTTTTTTTTTTTTAATAGAGTTTACGACCCATTTAAAAAATTTAAGGGAATATAGAGCATTTCCGTGTTTTTGCTAATAAATTATTACATTAAAAAAAGAAAGTTTATTTTTATCGTCTCTTATTAATGAATTCTTCAAATTCCTTTGATATATGAAATATACGACATTTGTTCTTAAATACTGTTAGACTTCTTTCTCTCACAATATCTTCTACTGTAAATTCATTATTAATCATTCGTCTCTTTTTAATATTAGTTTTTTTTTTAAAAAAAAATGCATTAATAATATAAATTATATATATATATGAAAACACATAAAAAAGATTTATAATACCTTTGATTCATCAACAAACATTTGATTCTTTAAATCTTTATCAAATGGATCATCTTCCAGTGCTTTATGTTTTTTTTCCAACTCAGCATCTAAAATCTAAACTAAATTTTATTAATTTAATTAACTAATTCTAAATTTAATAATAATAAAATATAGTAGCTTAACCAATATCACACACTTTTAGACATTTATCTATAGCATATTCTCTCTTTTGATAAGCATCAGCTAATTCTACGAAAAAATTCGCGCAAGCCTCTTTAGAATGCGTATCAGTTGTGTTCAATTTCAGCATAATATTATCATCTATTTTTCTATATTCTTTCATAAGATCTAAAAGAATAATTGGTTGCTTTAAACAATACTCATATGATGATTTAATGAATTTAATTACCTTTGAAATAAGATAGGTTATAACATGTATCAGCATTAACTTCATTCATATTTCTTTTAAAAAGATTTATCCGAGATAATACAACAATAATTAATAATATCTACAAAGATACAAAAACGTGTATTAGGCAGCGAAAAAAAGATGTTTACAATATTGACAAGAGAAACGAAAATTATTATTTTATGATTAATTTTTTATCTTGAAATCTTGTGACATTGAAAGTCATGTGAAATTGTATTGAAAAAGTTTACCGGTACGCGTAGTCAACCTACCTTTTCACTTAATAATGTCTATTGAGAATTCTTCACAAAGTCGGCTTAACCAAATTGAAGCTTATGAATCACAATTAAAGGAGTATAATAAACATTTTGAAAATTTACTGAATGAACTATCATTAGATTTAGAAAATGTTAAAATTCAGCAGCAGGTTGCAATTAAGTTTTCGTCTAAGACTTTCTGAATATTTATCTATTTGTTATTTTATTTAATTATTTTATCAATCAAAAGGAAATCAAGTCTTTAGTAAATTGTCCATTTAATCCAGCTCATAAAGTTCCCTCTAAGTCCTTTGGACGACACTTTCGAAAATGTGAATTGAAATTTCATGGCATACATAATGAACTTGGAAGGGTACGCGATTCGTATATATATATATATATATTGTAGTTATTTATTTGTTGCTTGTTCAAAAATATTAATTTCCCATTGAATTCATTAAAAATAATTTAGAGGAAGAAATTGCCAAGTTCAAATTTTTTTTATCAAAATTCTCCGTCTGTTATATCCTTGAATAAAGGTTTGTTGTTTGTACTTCTTTCGTTAATTTATTTATTATCATTTATTAACGCGTCTTTTCCAATCTTTAACAGAAGAATTACAACAGATATCAGAAATTAAAGAAGGGCCACTGTCTTTAACAGTCGATCAAAGATTGCAAAAATACGAAAAAGAAATTGGAATGTGTGATCAAATTCGTGAACAACATCAGCAACAAAAAAAGGATATATATCAAAACTTTGATCAAGTTTGGGAAGCCATACAAAAAATGAAAGGTTTTTATTTAGAATGTTTTTTTACATGTGTCTTTTCGCTTATGATATTTTTACACTTTTAATTTTATAGAACAAAGTCAAGGACAAAAAACGCGGGAAGAATTATTAGCGGAACAACGCGATTATAAACGTAGAAGAAAATCTTATAGGGCCAAGAATATTAAAATCACCCAAAGGACACCCACGCAGGTAAAATATTATTTAATGTATTTGCTAAATCCATAAATGAACCCCTTATAATAATATCCAACACTATTAGGTACATAGAGATATAATTGCGGCTTATATGGAAGATTTTAAATTGTTGGCGCAATTCGAAGCAAGCCAACAAGATCAAATAGAGCTGCCACCGAAGTCTTTTTAATTGAGATATTCTCGTCACAGGTAAGTATTTCCTAGTGTGATATATTTTTACTTTTGAATATAGTACTATTTTAAAATGTATATATTTCTTTCTAAAAAATGAATAAAAAATTAGAAGTCTAAATTAAGCGTTGTTTGATAAACCAAACCAGAATTCTTATTCTTTGCGGTTGCTTTAATTTCCATTGTGCCAAAGGTAAGATAGAATTCTACTAATCTCTTACTTCCAAGTTGAATATCAGGTAAATCTATTTTAAGTGTACCCAAATGCTTTGTATTAGGATCATCACAATATTTAGCATCAAAATTTGTTGTAGCATAAATATTAAAAGTCATATCAATCTGATTTAAACTAGAAGGTTTAGCCACATAACCAAAAGTTTGATTTACTTTGACTTCAGTTCCTCTTTTTGCCAATTCATGAAAACAAAACTTTAACCCGTTATGAGTTTTTCTTCTAGGATCGTCTCCTTTTTTCCACTTCTTTAAAACCTGTACGCCATAAGTGTAACGTAAGACCCTCGTTTGTATGGTTCTCATATTTAAGCCATATTGTACAGCACCTCTAACTACAGCAGTTATAGGCTGAGATGGTACTTCGATTATAGGAACATATTTACTAAACGTTTGTTTAACTTGTCTCACTAGATAAATGGATTCACTAAAACCTCCAACAAGAAAAATTGCAGAACATTTTTTTCCAAAAGAATTTAATTGATTTCCGATTAACCAATTAATTCTTTGTATAACTGGATCAAACATATTTATAACACTTAAGAAATCTAATTCAATTATCCATTCTTCTTGTTCCATCCTCTGCCTTGTAATTTCATCATTAACATAATACATCAAATCTGGACAAGTATCTTCTAAATCTATACAAATATTTTGAAAATCTGATTGATCTCCTGTAAACGGTAATTTTACTTTGTTACAAAATTCTTCTATTAAATATTGAAATTGATCATTATGATTATAATAAAGTTGTTGTATTGATTGATATAAATTATATTTTTGATAAAGAAAATTTAAGAACTCTTTATTTACAAAAGTACTTCCACAATAATCTCCTGTCCTCTCGGTTATTTCACTAATCTGATTATTGCTTGTCAATTTTCTCATCGTTAAGTCGACTGCTCCACCTCCACAATCCACTATCATAAAATTAGCTATAATATTATAAATAATCAATCTTGTAGTTAGTATAATTAATTAATTAAATCGTAATTATTTGAAAAGTGATATTTACCGCCAGATTTTAATCCTAATTGTCTAAGTGAGGTAATGCAATGTATAGCAGCAGCCTCGGCTAATTATATATATAAATTAGTAATAACAATCAAGAACTCTTATTTTTTCATTTAAAAAAAATACTTACGTTCAGTAGTAAATTCCAAATTTGGAGAATCTGCAAACTGTAATAATCCGGCTTTAAATGCACAATCACGCATGATTGCCTTTGCTCTTTCCGAAAAATCTGCCGGAACTAATCAATAAATTACAATTTTGGAATTAGAACAGAATTTTTTTTTTAAATAATGAATTATAAAATTACCCGTTAAAACAATCAAAACGTTCTTATAAAAATTTATTCCTAATATAAAGAATTAAACACGTTAGCTTATTGTATTATTACAAGCAAGTGCCTATATAATAAAAACATTCACCTGGCCATCTTGTTGCTATTGTAGTTTTAATTAGCTGAATATAAGTAAATATAGTATTATTTTAATCATCCGTGAAGGAAGGAATTCGAGGAAGTCAATCAACAGTTACATACTTTGGTCATTTCTGCTAGATAATCAATTACACATTGTCTATAACTTAGGCCCTGAGGTAAAATAGGTTTATCTTGTTCTCTTGCATTTCCAAGGAATAATTTAAACAAAGATACTGAAAGTGTAGGAGGTTCACCAGTGGGTAGACCATTATTATCTGTTTTTTTCTTTTTCTTTTTCTCTTGACGCGTTATTGCACTTGAGCCCCAACCAACAACATTCCAAGTTTGTGAGTTATAAAATAAAATAGTATTGGTTTTAAATACGCCACGTTGTCCTTGTTGTGGCCATATATCATTTGTAACTATATCTGATAAGCTATTCGATTTGTGAGAGTACGCAAACGTACTCGAACACGTACCAAAATCTACACCTACCACAACTTCATATACTGAAGTTGCCATTTTTTTATTATTATTATTTAATTAGAAAAGCTTTACGCGAAAATTTATTTCTCTTATTTCTCTTACTACTGAGAGAAATGAATAAAATACACGCTCGTACAACAATTGATTGATCAAAATTATTTTATTTTAAGTTGCAAATATAGAACGAGAGAATCACAATTGTAATTTATTTTTATTTATGTTTCAATTTTGATTTAAGTGAGAACAATATCTTTTCCTTATTCTTCAATTACATACCCTTTTTCATCTAGCATCTAATGGCTGATCGTTGTGCCGTAGACCGTGGCCCACATTACCAGTTATTGTGTTACGTGACATTTTTATAATTATTACGCAAAATAGAAAATGGAGCATAACTGAAAAAAGTCTCGCTTGAAACAAAGAAATTAACCTCATTTCGTTAATCTAAATCACTTTTACTCCAAGAATATTTGTTCTTTGAACTATTCACCGAGGATTCCAAATTCATTTCAAAATTCAAAAAAAAAATGAATTTACCTTTACCAACTTCACCAGAAAAACAAATAATTTCTATTCAAGGAGAATCCGAAGAAACCGAAGATGGACCAATGTTTTATGTTCTAATTTTTCTTATGGTTTTAGTTTTTTCTAGTGGAATATGTTGGTTATTTTGTTGTGGTACTTGTGTTGGAAGAGATACTTTAAGAATGTTTGGGTTTGGGAGATTTTCACCTTCTTCTAATAATAGAAGAAGGGGAATGAGGAATTACAGATATAGTCCTGCTTCTACGGAAGAGGAGGAATGGGAAATGTTAGCCAATGCTAATAATGAAAATAATGTTAGAGTAGCCGATGATGAAGAAAGTGTGTTGGACAATGATCAAGAAGAATATAGCGCATTACAATAATTATTGTATTTTAAATTATAGACTATTTATTTATCAAAATAGAATTTATATAATTTATATATTTCCGCTCACATAAAAAAAATAGCATTTTTTTCCATTTCTTTCGTTAAAATTTTGCATCAAATCGGTTGTCCTGCTAAAATTTGACGGATTGACCCGATTTCTAAATTGTATCTGGTTTTTACAACAAAATGAACATGATCACCGATAAATCTAAAATCAGCTCATTTATTATTTAATCGACTTTTTACCAAAAACATCTTAAATTCAATTATTTTTAAGCAAAAGATAATCAAAAATTTTTTTCTTGCACAGGATTTACATCGGTGTTACGATCGCTAACTTAAAAAACCCGGAGTGATTCAACTTAACTGTCAAAAACTTTTTGGACGAACCTTTTTTTTTAAAAAAAATCTCAAAATGCCGATTACTAAGATTCATGCACGTCAAATCTTTGACTCCCGTGGTAACCCTACTGTTGAAGTAGACCTTGTCACTGAAAAAGGTAATTACAAGAGCGAAGGTGAATTTTACTTGGAAAATTAAATTTTTCTTCTTTCCTTTTTTTTTATAATATAATATAGGTACTTTCCGCGCTGCTGTACCTTCTGGAGCTTCAACTGGTGTTCACGAAGCTTTGGAACTTCGTGACGGCATCAAAACAGAATACGTTGGAAAAGGTAATATATTAATTTTTTTGATATAAAAGAAAGAAAATTATGTAGAATCATTAAAATTTATTCTACTATTTTACAATATAGGTGTTTTAAAAGCTGTTGCCAATGTTAATGAAAAGATTGCACCAGCGTTAATTGAGGCTAATTTGGATATTAAAGATCAAAATGCCGTTGATGACTTTCTCTTGAAATTGGATGGAACCAAGAATAAATCAAAATTCGGTGCTAATGCAATTCTTGGAGTATCTCTTGCCGTTGCTAAAGCCGCAGCTGCTGAAAAGGTAAGGATTAAAAATAGAATAAAATTTTATTTTATTTTATTTATTTTTCATTTTTATTATTATTATTATTATTTTTTTTTTGAAAAAAATAATATATTCATTTGCTTAAGCAATAGTTCATGTGTTGTTATAGGGCATTCCGCTCTATCGACATATTGCAGAACTTGCTGAAAGTAAAAAGCCATTTGTTCTTCCAGTTCCAGCCTTTAATGTAATTAATGGAGGATCTCATGCTGGTAATAAACTTGCTATGCAAGAATTTATGATTCTTCCAACTGGTGCAAAATCTTTTTCAGAAGCTATGAAAATTGGTTCAGAAGTTTATCATACATTGAAGTCCGTAATCAAAGCTAAATATGGTCAAGATGCTACTAATGTTGGGGATGAAGGTGGCTTTGCTCCTAACATCCAAGACAATAGAGAAGGTCTTGAATTACTTAAGGAAGCCATTGCAAAAGCTGGTTATACAGAGAAAGTGAAGATCGGTATGGATGTAGCTGCCTCTGAGTTCTATAAAGATGGTCGTTATGATTTGGACTTTAAGAATAAAGATTCTGATGAGTCTAAATGGCTCTCTGGAACTGATCTTGCTAAGTTATACGTAGATTTCATTAAGGAATATCCAATTGTTTCGATCGAAGATCCTTTTGATCAAGATGATTGGGATGCTTGGAGTCATCTCGTTTCTTCGGTTGATATTCAAATTGTTGGTGATGATTTGACTGTAACTAATCCAGAAAGAATCGCCACGGCCATTGAAAAAAAGTCTTGTAACGGTCTTCTTTTGAAGGTAAATCAAATTGGTACCGTCAGTGAATCTATAAAGGCGTAAGTGTTAAAATTTAACTTAATTAGAAAGTTTTTTTTTGCTATTTACTTATTTACAATTCTATAAAATTGCAGGGCTAAATTATCTCAAAATGATGGATGGGGCGTTATGGTTTCCCATCGTTCAGGTGAAACCGAAGATACTTTTATTGCAGATCTCGTTGTTGGTCTTCGTACTGGACAGATTAAAACAGGAGCCCCTTGTCGTTCGGAACGTTTAGCAAAATATAATCAATTATTACGTATTGAAGAAGAATTAGGTTCCGACGCTATTTATGCTGGTGAAAAGTTTAGAAGTGCTCATTTGTTGTAGGAATCTTAGGAATTTGATCTCTAATAGTAGTACAAAACATTTATATTTATTTTATTAAAGTAATGAAATAGTCATTATTTAAATATCTTTTCTATATAAAAATATAAAGTTGTCAGACAATAAAATGGTCCAATTTATTGCGATAAAAAAATCAAATTTGAAGTTTTTAATATCAAGTCACTAATAAATAAATTGAGGTTCAATAATTAAATCTTAATATTCTCTTGTTTTATTTCTTTTTTTCAAAAACTAAATCTTAATAAATTTCTCATCATAAAAAATTACTATATACAAATACTAGAACATAAAATATAATAAGGAGTAAAAGCTTATATAAAACATATTGTTCTTATTTTTTGAAACAAAAAACTGTGGAATTACATTATCAGAGAGAATAGGTTAAATAGACCTTAAATTGTTGTTAGTGTTTTTTTTCTTCTTTCATAAAATAGCGATTCAGAACGAAGTAAGGAAATACAAAAAATTTAATCATAAAAATTAGGCAATAAAAATAAACCACAGTATAATAAAATAAATAAATAATAACCCCGACATCGAAAAAGTATATTAATATAAAAATAAAATAATGATAATTATATAATATATTAATAATGCAATAAAAAATAAAAAATAATATATATTCGATACATCCTAATATTCCATGAATCAAAATTTTTCGTAAACGAATTAATAATATTTTTGTCTTTTTTAAATATATATACACTAAATAACTATAGAATTCAAGGCCATAAATCACCGAGTTCTTTCCTTTTCTTGTCAATTTCCAATTTTATTTCATCTAACGAAGTTTTTAATGTCTTTAGATCATCAAATTTTCTTTTTCTAGTAGCTTCTTGAATAAACTCTTCTAATCTCTTTTCTTGTTCCAAAAATGCTTCTAATTGCTGTCGAAGCTGCTCTTCTTCTTTTACAGATTTGGTAGAAGACATTGAAAGTGATCTAGGTCTTCCATTAGCAAAAGCAGCAAAAGCAGGTATAGCTTCAGACGAATCATCATCATCGTCAAAATATCCATATTGTTGGCCGTTCGTATTTTGAGTTTGATCCTTTTTGAACATTTTTGGTAATACTGAAAGTGGTAACATATTTTGTTGTAGATATTGATTTGCGGCTAAGTGAATATTGGATTGAAGACGTCTTTCGGATTCAGAATAGGTAAGCAACGAATTGATTCTTTTGCTGATCGCGTCAAACTGAGCAAAATTATCCAATAGTTCTTTTCGTGATCGTGCAGCCAATTGATAATCCGCATGTGTTTGATTAATTATTTCTTTACTCCTACCAATTAAAAAATAATTTTAGATATTTATAGTGATCAAAACTACGTAATTGGGTAATTGGAAATTAAAAAACAACTTTAACATAATAAGCATGTCTTGAAATTTAGGTAATGTAGAATCAATTGCAGATCTGATTTTCGTTAATTTCTAATTTAAATTTGATAACGTATTAGTCAAACCGAAGGAAAGAAAAATGAAAATGAACAAGTATCGAAGCATCAACCTGATATAACATAACGACCGGAGGTGTCTTTGCTATTTCTTCGTTATACTCTTTTCGCCTATACACAAGAGCATTAAATTAATAAAACATGAAAATTCTTATATTTTTTCTATTCTTCCTGTTGTTTAAATACCTAAACACAGCAGAACGACACTCCTTACAGGCGCGAATTTCGCCGATAGAGTCTTGATCTGCCACTTCTATATATAAATATTTTTGCAAATTAGTCCAAACTTTCTAATAATTAATAAATTAAGTAATGCACAAACCTGAATAGTTATTTAGATTCAGAGGAATTTTTGACGAACATTTTTCACAAATAACGCGTCCACAAAGACGACAATGATGTTTGCGATTAGTTATCTTGCCAAAAGATGTTCTAAACGAAAGTTTTAACATGATTAAATTTTATTAATGAAATCATTTGAGAAAAATATCATATTACATACCTACATAACGGGCAATTAGTCACAGACGCATCGTCCTGCCATTTAACAATTGACTGTTCGGAAACTAATTTGAAAGAAACAATTTTAACATAAATAAATATTTATAAAATAAAAGAAGTTGAATATTACCTCTTCTTCGATGTTTAGCAGTCAAAGGAGGCGCCAATCCTCCTTGGGTGGAGTTCACCTGTTTAATTTGCGTAATGTACACTTTGGCAAGCTGTATGCGACAAACAAAGTATGTAAATATATGGAAAACCAACGCAAACGCATTACAATATACATTATATATAATAAAAATAATGAATCACACACCTTTTCTAGACGTTGTTCGAGCCGGTTTCCTTCTAAATGTGCTCTTTCAATCCCTTTTGTCCGGTATTTGATAAATATCGATGTACAACTTCTTGTAACCCCTATATTGTTGTTAGTAGGTAATAGAAAAATTTAGGAATGATTTATAATACTAAGAAAAGCTTTCCTTAATATGATTACCTTCAGTATCTAAATAACCTTCTCGAGAAACAAAACAATCATCGCATACTCTGCAGAAATATCCATTGACAGGATCATGTTGTGCTTGCCTATTCAATTTCATCGATAAACGACAATGATCTTCACAAAAGAACTCACCACACCTATATTATTTATAAAAAAATGAAAAAAAAGAAATAAGAATCAATCAATCTGTTATATATAAAAATATAATAGGAGCTAAAAATAGATTAACGAACACGAGTTTGATCATGATGACTACTTTCGACAATTGTGTTTGCCGTTTATAATGTTCAATGACTTTTCACAAGCGGAGTTCGAGCATACGATATTTTCGACATCTTGTTTCCAATGAGCTTTCGTTACAAATTCGGATTGTTTGTCCAACCCGTTAATATCAAATTCATTAAATTTATTCATAGCTAATTGCGAGATGTTATTCTTTGTTTTCGAAAGGGGCTTCATAATGGTACTTTGAGCATTTTTAAACCATTTAATAATGCCATCTTTTTGGTCGATAGAAGTATCCATGTGCTCGTCGTCCAAATGACGATTAAGTTGTAAGAGGGAGACCATTTGTTCGTTACATATGGGACAAGCGAGTTGTTCAAGACTCGAAGAATCATCAAAAATCAAAGATTCTCGGTGGGAATTATTAGCTGGCAAGGAATTTGACAGCATAGTTAGATTAGAGAGCGAATTGGAGTCTGAAATTGAACTCATTTGGTTTAACAGAAATCCCGGAAAGAATCAAATTGTAAAAATAATAATCGAGAGATGATATTGCAGAAGAATATGTGGCACAAATTTACTATTGTAACTAAATCATGTGACATTCTACTTAAACAAGTACAAATTTACAAACATTTTTACTTTATTGAAATAACGGTTATACAGCTATAAAAACATTTTATGTAATATAAAATAAAACTAAATAGAAAGTTGTTTAAGTTACATATTTTACTCAGTTTTATCAGATCTATCAGATGATACAGAATCAACTACAGAGTTCATTGCTTCTTTTGTGGCCTCATTAACTTTGCTTTTCAATTTGTTGAGAGATGAATCAACATCGCCTTGATAAGCTATAAGGAATGGTCTCAAAAATTTGGCATAAAGAACTTGTGCACCTTTGAAGGGAGGAAGGAAAAGCCTTAAATTGAGGGGAAAAAAGAAAAACATTTAGAAATGATCTTAAATATTACATATAAATGAGGATTAAAAGAATTATAAATTTACCAGAGGAAAAAGACGGTTTTGAATAAGTAATAAAACGGAATCCAGTAAAGGATTGTGTCGGAGAAGAATTCAATAATATTTAAAAATCCAAATACAGTCCTGAAAAAAGCTTATTAGTACAAAAACAAGGAATCAAAAAAAAATGAACCTAAATCAATCTTTACCAGTATGTCAACCATTGAGTATCGTCAGATTTTTCCGTACTTTCGATGGCCTTGAATGAAGTATAAGCTAAAAAAAAAATATTATTTAATACTTTTCCCACGAAGGACATTGCCGCAGTATTCATATAAAGTTTCTCGCAACATAATACCAGGATAAAGCCAGCCGATAAGATTTGACAATAATTGTCCCCAAACATCAAAAAAGATCAAAAAGGACACGAAACCAACAACACCAGCGGCCAAATAGGTTTTTGGAACACCGACTTGTTGTTCTAGTTTAATAATTTGTGGATATTTTGAAAGCTCTTTATCAGCTTGAGCATTATAATACTTGAGTTTAGCTTGAAAACCTTCCATTTTATTTATTTCGAGAGAGAGAAATAAGTATAAAACTATAGTCGTTAAAAATTAAAAGAAAAAAAAAGAAATAGTTATAGAAAAACTATATCGTAAAAAAATTTGCTCAAAGGAGGACTATAAATAATCTATTGATAGGCACAGATAAACTATTTGATACACTGATTGTGTGAAGTTACATAAAGATTGTTATTACAGCGTACACAACCTTATTTGCTTACTCTCATTTCATGAAACCCGACTCTCGACACCTCCTTTAGAAATTTAATGTGTCACCAACCTTCTAAATGGTCATATATTGCAAATCATTTACAGTTTTTGCCATTTTCTTCCATCCTCCAAATTCAGAATTACAAGTCCGATTCTTATCAAGTTCTATTTTCTTTGTTATCAAGAAAGAACAAAAAATGATCAATTTTTTACAATAACTTTTTAGTTAAGAGAAACTGAGTGACACGATTAGCACATGCGAAACCATGTACAAAGACTTGGCAGAAAATTATTGGAAGATTATAAAATTTTTTTCTTTGTAATCATATGATGTGAGAATGTCGCACAGATAAAATAATGTATACATTGTCTAAATATTTTGAAATCACAAGGGTAATTTGCAAGAATTTTCCCTTTTTTCTGCTCTGAGGCATCTGAGGGAAATTTTTCTACAAATCAGCAAAATCAGATTAGCGAACGCACAAGCGCGGTTAAGAAAAATTTAAACCCACATGAACCTATCAGCTTTGACGTTTTTAACGAAAGAATGCGGATAATAATCTGATTGGATATAATTTCACGTGATGAATCTCAAATTATGAGCGCCTCAATTGATATCTAGCCTAGCGTTACCCAAAAAAAATCACTTGTCACGTGACCATGTAAAAATCATCACGCCCCTCAGTGTTTTCATTGTTTATAATTATCTGTTTTTTGAGTTGGTAAAAAATTATTTGTCACACATTATTTGTCACTGTACTGTTCACGTGACAGTGCATAATTCCGCATAATGCTGGCCACCAGTGCTTTTATTTGGGTACACTAGGGTAGTTTCAATTAATAGACTGATGAATAATCTGATTGGCCAAAAAAATATCATAAAGTTACCATTTCAATGAAAAAACAAATGAGTTGTAAACCACCTTTTTTTTTAATAATCTACAATTGATAGAATATGCTCAAACTCATTTCCAATTTTACATATTTTTTATAATACTTTTTCATTATTGTACCTCACACTCTATTTTTTAATAATGAATTTTCAGCAAAATTCTCTTCAATGTAAAAAAATTATTGTTTTACTTTTAATGTAAAAAGTTTTTAAAAAGAAAAATAGAGTTTTCAAGCAAATACATACCTTTTAACCTTTACTCAAATTACATCAAATGTAGTTTTTTCATATTTTACTTATCTGAACTTAAAAGCTTTTCAGCAAAAAAAGTCTAAAACTGAGTATTAAAGCTTTAGAACATTCCTTTAAAGTAGAACTTGCAATACTAAAGTTTTGTATATTTGAAATAATTTTATTCAAATTCTGTTTTTTTCTTTTGAATCTTTTACCTTTTGTAATATTGTCCAACCTCTTTAATAAGCATTTAGACTTCAGCTGAAATCCATCGATTTGCACAGGTTGAAAAGTGAAAAATCAGGCATCAATCAGTCACCAATCAGGTACCTGATTGGTGACCGATTGGTGACTGATTGGCATTTTCGCCAAATACCGTCACCAATCAGGCAGTTTGCTAACTTTTGATCCAGTGATCAGAAAAGGATGAAATATAGCTCATTGG